TCAAAAGAAAACTTAACCAGTTCAACACACTCCTGTGTAATTTCTTTTTACAAGTGCTCTTCACAGTTACCAATAAGCAATTCACTTTTAATTGTACAATCATTTTCTGAACCAAGATGTAAAGTCATCTATGAGGCAAAAGGAAGATCCCTCCCATCAGCTAAGGTAACATGAACTGCACGTAAATTAGGAAAACATTCCTAGGACTGGCACCACAAAAAGCAGTAGCCAGTAAAGTAGCATTTTTTTTTTTTTTGAAAACCTTTCCGGTTCCCCACCCACCCTGCTGAGAACTGCAGCACATACTTTTCATCTGCAAACTTCTCAGCTGTGAAGTCCACCTGCCTCTCGGTCTCATAGGGCCGGTATTCCCTGTAGGGTCTCCGCTCGGCTCTTTCAAGGGTCCCCTCGGGCCCGCGGCTATCATTCCATCCTTGCTGCTCCCCTCTTCTAGGGGTCCGCTTCTGGCCTACCAGAAAATCAAAGCAGAGAGCTGGAACACAACGTCTGCGAGAGTATTAAACTTTACACGTACTTGTAAATTTTAAGTTGTTCATACTACAACTGCCCACAGTACTACTTTTTAATAGAACATTACTATTAAATCATGCTTTCCCTATATCCTAGAAAGTATATGACAAACTAGGCTCACCTATAATTACAGGCACCTCCCAAAAGCTGTGACAGTGGTGGGTATATTTTACTAAATACGCTACAGTTCACAAAAGCAGCTTGACAAAATACAGTATGTAAGCCCTATCTAGAAAATGAAAGAATACCCTGTATTTCAGACTGTACTTTTAGAATCCCAACTGCACATAAAACCATGGCAGCTATGGCTTATCACTGGCATACTACTAAGGTTTTTGTTTTTATTTACTTACTTATATTTGAGACAGAATCTCACTGTGTCACACAGGCTGGAGTGCAGTGCGCTGTACAATCTCGTCTCACTGCAACCTCTGCCTCCCGGGCTCAAGCAATTCTGTGCCTCAGCCTCCCGAGAAGCTGGGATCACAGGCATGCACCACCACACCTGGCTCATTTTTGTATTCTTAGTAGAGACAGGGTTTCACCATGCTGGCCAGGCTGGTCTCGAACTCCCAGCTTCTAGCAATTCACCCACCTCAGCCTCCTGAAATTACATGGATGCTTTAAACATCTCACCTCGGCCCCCTGAAATTACCAGGGTTACATGGATGAGCCACCGTGCCTGGCCAAGGCTTTTGTTTTTAAAGTTTGTGGTGTTTATATTTTTATTTTGAAAACAGATTTTCCTGCTATTCTATGAGATATATAGACTTGCAACTAGAACTTCTTGAATATGAACCAAAACCTGCTATTTGCCAACTTGCCCGAGAGTCAGCCAGTACTTGAGGACATCTCTTTGTCCCCTGAGAGTTTGGCACTTAGACGCCATGCTGGGACCAGAGACTCTGGTCTTTTCCTCTCGCCTTGCTCTACTCCCCTCTGGTTTTAATGCTTTAAACATCTTAAGCAAAGTCTAAGTTTGAAGCCATCTGATACTTGGTAAATACATCGTGGAGAACTTTCTCATGTCTTTAATCTTCAAAAGTCTATCTTTTTTTCGTATAAAAGATCTCACTATGTGCAATTTTTACAATAGTGGCTTCAGTTTTTCTTAGTACAAATTACTCTTCACATTAGTTGCATAACTATAAAATATTACATTTATTCAAGTTAATGGATTTTTTTGAGTCCCGAGTGACTGGGACTATAGGCACGTACCACCACACCTGGTTAATTTTTTTAAATATTTTTAGTAGAGACAGAGTTTCACCATGTTTGTCAGGATGGTCTCTATCTCCTGACCTTGTGACCCACCTGCCTCAGCTTCCCAAAGTGCTGGGATTACAGGCGTGAGCCACTGCGCCCAGCCTTTATTTTTTTTTTTGAGACAGAGTCTCACTCTATCCCCCAGGCTGGAGTGCAGTGGCACGTTCTTGGCTCACTGCAACCTCCACCTCCCAGGTTCCAGTGATTCTACCGCCTCAGCCTCCTGAGTAGCTGGGACTGCAGCTACCACGTTCGGCTAAGATTTTTGCATTTTTAGTAGAGACAGGGATTCACCACGATGGCCAGGCTGGTCTTGAACTCCTGGCCTCAGGTGATCCACCCGTCTTGGCCCCCCAAAGTACTGAGGCATGAGCTACCACACTCAGCTGCCTTTTTTCTTTTTTTTGAGACATTCTCACTCTGTCATCCAGACTTCCAGGCTGGAGTGCAGTGGCACAATCTCAGCTCACTGCAACCTCCGATACCTGGTTTCAAGCAATTCTCAAGCCTCCTAGGTAGCTGGGATTACAGGCCTGTGCCACCATGCTTGGCTAATTTTTCTATATCTTTACTAGAGACAGAATTTCACCATGTTGGCCAAGCTGGTCTTGAATGATCTCAGGTGATCCACCTGCCTCAACCTCCCAGAGTGTTAGGATTACACACATGAGCCCCTGCACTCAGCAGAGCATTATGCTTTTATTGAGGACATATCAAGATAATGACACTTTTTTTTTTTGACAAGGTCTCACTCTGTCACCCAGGCTGGAGTGCAGTGGTATGATAATAGCTCACTGCAGCCTTGACCCCTGGGACTCAAGTGATGCTCCCACCTCAGCCTCTTGAGTAGCTCAGACTCAGACCACAGGCATGCACCATCACACCAGCTAATTTTTTTTTTTTGAGACGGAGTTTCGCTCGTTGCCCAGGCTGGAGTGCAATGGCGCGATCTCGGCTCACCGCAACCTCCGCCTCCTGGGTTCAGGCAATTCTCCTGCCTCAGCCTCCTGAGGAGCTGGGATTACAGGCATGCGCCACGATGCCCAGCTGATTTTTTGTATTTTTAGTAGAGACGGGGTTTCACTATGTTGACCAGGATGGTCTCGATCTCTTGACCTCGTGATCCACCCGCCCCGGCCTCCCAAAGTGCTGGGATTACAGGCGTGAGCCACCGCGCCCAGCCTTTTTTTTTTTTTTTTTTTGGTAGAGATAGGTCTCATTTTGTTGCCCAGGCTAGTCTTGAACCCCTGAGCTCAAGTGATCCTCCCACCTAGCCTCCCAATGCTGGATAACAGGCATGAGCCACCACACAGCCCCCACTGTCACTGATACTTGTCCCCAATTGCCTAGGAGTGGGCAACATCAGGTCTGGGCGCACATGCGTTGAGCGTTCAGAATTGGAAAAGGCGTTCAAAATGTAAGGTAGGCCGGGCGCAGTGGCTCACGCCTGTAATCCCAGCACTTTGGGAGGCCGAGGCGGGTGGATCACAAGGTCAAGAGATCGAGACCATCCTGGTCAACGTGGTGAAACCCCGTCTCTACTAAAAATACAAAAAATTAGCTGGGCATGGTGGTGTGTGCCTGTAATCCCAGCTACTCAGGAGGCTGAGGCAGGAGAATTGCCTGAACCTGGGAGGTGGAGGTTGCGGTGAGCCGAGATCGCGCCATTGCACTCCAGCCTGGGTAACAAGAGCGAAACTCCGTCTCAGAAAAAAAAAAAAAAAAAAAAAAAAAAATGTAAGGTAGAAAAAGCCACTATGAAAGTTAATTATCTGATAAGTTGAAAATTATAATAGGTCATGACATAACACTCATCAGAAAATGTCAACAGTAACAATACTTTCTCATAGCTTTACCTCAGTGTAAAAAGAGTTATTTTAACACAGTTTCAGATTTCCTATTTCCAACCTACAGTTTTAAAAACGTCTTTTAATATCGCCACTCAACTACACAATTACTTAGTTGCTTATCCCACCTTTCTGCTTCCTCCAATTTTGTTGTTGTTGTTTCGGGTTTTTTGCTTTTTTGAGATGGAGTGTCACCCTGTCACCCAGGCTGGAATACAGTGGCGCAATCTCAGCTCACTACAACCTCCGCCTTCCAGGTTCAAGCTATTCTCTTGCGTCAGCCTCCTCAGTAGCTGGGATTACAGGCACGTGCCACCACGCCCGGCTAATTTTTGTATTTTTAGTAGAGACGGGGTTTCACCGTGTTGGTCAGGCTGGTCTCGAACTCCTGACCTCGTGATCCGCCCACCTCAGGCCTCCAAAGTGCTGGGATTACAGGCGTGAGCCACTGCACTCGGCCCCTCCAAGTTATTTTTTAATTGTGTCAATTAAATTTGTAATTCATCAAACAAAATAGGACATCTACTGTACACCATATAAAAGCCTTCTCCAACAGTATAAACTGAAAACTGTTAAATACAACTGGCAACTTATTAGAATAATTATCAATATCAAGTAAACATTTCATTTTCCCTCCCAAACCCCCCAAAACAAAGATAATTAGAATAATTATCAGTTTCAGGCAAACATCTCATTCTCCCTCCCAAATCTCCCACAACAAAGATAATCAGCATCCAATTTTTTCCTCACAATTTAGTACTAAGAGATCAACACTGCCAGGAATTGGGCTTGTTTTTCTGTGCTGGATCAGCAGCTCCAAGTGGAGAATGCAAGCACTGCATTTCACTAACCTTTCCAATAAAAGGCTGGCACATGCATTCATCACCATCTAAACCAAGCCCATGTAAAGAAACAGAATACAATAAAAATTACAGTACGATTTCCCACAAAATAAAGTTGAGCTTTGGTTCAACACACATAATACTAAAAGGCTGGGAAAACCAAAACTGAAACGACCTCTCATGACTTCAAGAATGAACTTACTGAGCAAGGCTCACTCAAGGGTTTATGTAGATTGCTAGACAGATAGTCAGACATTAAAAACCTACATTTTTGGCTGGGTGTGGTGGCTCACGCCTGTAATTCCAGCAGTTTGGGAGGCCAAGGCAGGCAGATCACGAAGTCAAGAGATAGAGGCCATCCTGGCCAACATGGTGAAACTCTGTCTCTACTAAAACAAATACAAAAATTAGCTGGGCTTGGTGGCATGCACCTGTAGCCCAGCTACTGGGGAAGCTGAGGCAGGAGAATCGCTTGAACACGGGAGGCAGAGGTTACAGTGTGCCGAGAGGGTGCCACTGCACTCCTGGTGACAGAAAATCAAGACTCCATCTCAAAAAAAAAAAAAAAAAGAAAAAAGAAAAGTAGCCAGGTGTGGTGGCAGATGCCTGTAAGGCCAGCTACTCAGGAAGCCCAGTTAGAATTGCCTAAACCCAGGAGGTGGAGGTTGCAGTGAGCCATGATCATGCCACTGCACTCCAGCCTGGGCGACAAAGCAAGACTGTCTCAAAAACAAACAAACAAAAACCCTACATTTCCATACGAAAAGCCTGCGACTTCCACATTCCTTCAGGATTAGTATTTCTATGATATCAAATATATTTTATTTTTGTCTACACTAAACATTCACTTACAATATTCTAACAAAATTAAAAATTTGGTACAGTGTTTCATATCAACTAGGGCTACAAAACCTTGAGAGATTAGCTCTTTGACCCACCATAGATAAATTTAGTACAGCAGCTACATAAATGGAAATTAATGAGCTGTTTGCACCTGAAAAATACACGTACTTGAAAAAGAACTTCAATGATAAAATTTCCATTCTAACTACAAAATCAACTAAATATCTGATTTCAAAAGCCAGATCACTTAGACGGAACAACTGACAGAAAAAAAGTTATGAGTGTACCACATGACAACAGCAAGTGCAGGAAACAGGTTGCAACCCAGTTTGTATCATTTAAGTTTAGAAAGAAAAGAAATAGCCCCGTGCATTTATGTATATAAATGCAAAGTGTCAGCAGGAAAAATAAGAGGATTTTCACTTAACCTTATGCATTTTGGAACTGCTTAAAATTTTTATCACAAAAATGCATGACAATTTTAAAAAGGCTAAAAATCAATGTATTAACAGTACTAACTTGTCTCACGTTTCTCGGAATAGAAGACGTATTTTCATTCGTTAAAATACAAATGGAGAAGAAAAACTTAGCCATCCTCAGTTCTTTTATCATATTCATGTAAATACGTTTAAGAGAAAAACATAAAAAAAAAACCAGGATGTAAAATGCACAATGTATCTCCAGTCTCACAGTTTAGATAGGCTCAGAAATTTACTGGCCTACCAAAGAGTCCTGAGATAGTCAATAACATTTTTTAAAATCATTTTCAACATCTTTACTGCAGTGACTTGATTCTCGAGTGATGACCCTGGATTTAACTTTTCACAAATAAAAGGTCAACATGATCCAGCTGCACATCAAAGCCCGAATACTTAAACCTGAGAGCTTTCCACAAAGCTGCGATGCACAATCGTTATCAAACAAGGAACAAACCAATAAAACCAAGTTGAACACACTGCCAAGCGTTGGCAGGAGTGGTCAAACTACACATCTTAATCGTAACACTCTGCAAACCTTGGGACCGCTGTCTCATTTAAAGAAAACAGAGGAAACACAGGTGGAGTGTTGCCGGCTCTGCCACTGACGCAGTTCAGGTGGAGGATGAACTCTCAAGCACCCTCCCCGACCGCAGGCAGCAGGACACCACGCTGCGCACTGGTTTTGCTTGCTCAACAGCGAGTGGGGAACTCCGAATATTCTTGATGGAAAGGTTAAAAACGCTTTTCTTAAACCAGCCTTAAGTTATTTATAAGCTCCACATCCCATCAACACCACACGAAGTACTGAAATACGATGCCCGCTGCCTGCTGGACGCTACCGGCCGGGGAAGGGGCGAAGGCGCCAGGTCGGACCGCGCCAGGTACCCCGCCCGCCCCGCCCGGGCCCGGACGTCACAGGCCGCCCCGAGGTCGCCCAGGCCTCCTGCATCACAGAGACCCCCCAGCCCCGGGGCCGGGAGCCCTCCTCTTCCCCACCGCGCTCTCGGGTGGCTCCGACATCAATCCTGCAGAGGCTGGGCTGGAGGATGCAGAAGGTCCCCGCCAGCTTGGATGTGGGCGCCCCGGGGTAGCGGCCTCAGCGTTCGCCCCCACACGCCACCCCAGCAACCTCCCTCAACTTTGTCCAACTTGCCGTAAAGGCTCAGTGCCAGGGTTGGGGGCTCCACCCCACCCCACCCGAAGACTGCGCTTCCCCCGGAACCCCGCATCCGGCTGCTGACGGCTGGAAGGGGTGTGACCCCCGCCCCTCTCCTACCTTCGGCGGCCACCAGGGCCCTCAACTCTCCCGGCTCTTCCCCGGCCCCGCCTCCGGGAACCGGCCCCGGGACCCCAGCCTCATAGCGGGACGCGCCCAGGCCCGCGCCCCCATTCCCCCCGCGTACCCGGCGCCTGCAGGCCGCCCCCAGGGCTGTCGGGCCCCTGCGCGCCGGGCGCCGGGAGGGTCTTGCGCTCCTTCTGCGACTCCCTCCGGCCGCCCGCGCCGGCTCGGTGGCCCGAGGGCCCAGCCGGGCTCCTGCCGCCGCGGGGACCAGCCCCGGCCGCCGCCGCCGCCGCCGCCTCGTCGCGCCTCTTGCGCTGCAGCTGCTGCTGGCGCCGGCGCTCGGCCTCGCGCAGGATGTCGAACGGGTCCGACTCGTCGTCCAGCAGCTGATGGAAGCGGTTGGCCACCACGCAGCCGAAACTCTCCTGCATCACGGCGCCGGCGGCGGCCACGGGGCTCCCCACAGCGCCCTTCATGCCGCCGCGACCGCAGCGGGCCGGGCGGGCAGCCCAGGCGAGCGCGTCTCAGCGAAGCCGGCGGCGAGGACCCATGCTGCCAGCTCCGCCGCCGCCGCCGCCGCCGCCCTCCCGGCCCTACCCGGTCCGGCCCCTCCCGGCGCCCGCCCGCGCGCGCCGCCACCGCCCGCCCAGCCTCGCCCGACAGCCAATCAGCGCGCGGGGATACGCCCCCTTCCCGTGCCGGCTGGCCCGGAGGCCCAATCACCGACTGGCTGCTGTTACGTCACGCGACGTCTGAGCCCCGCCCCCTCCGCGCAACAGGGAGGGGCGGGGCCCAGGGGCGGAGCTGCTGGCCGGAGACACCGCCGCTGTCCCGGCGGCGCGGACTGGTGGTGCGGGCCCGGTTGCGTGTGTGTTCTCCCCGGACCGCGTCCGTGTTTCTTATCGGCCACTGTGCTTTGAGCTTATGCATACATTTAGCCGCGCAACAGCTACGTATTGCGCACTTACCGTGTGCCAGGCGTTATGCTGCGGGAAATAGTAGCTCCGTGTTCGCACAGGTCTGTCTGTAGGTGGAGAAGAAGTGCCCTGAAGGACAGGCGCACAGCTCTCTACGGGCTTGCAGCAGAGGGACCTGACCTAATTGGCAAGTGACAGTTAAGCCGAGAGAGAGGGGTGACAAGGGGCCGGAGGAGGAACAGCAAGTGCAGCAGTCTCGAGGTGGGGTGTGCACAGCCTATTCAAGCTCAAAGTCGTCCCTATTCTAAGAGCAGTGGGAAGCAAGTTTTGAACATGAGCAGATTTGGGTTTGAAAAGGCCACCCGACCTGCACTGTGAACTAATAGTTTGGAGAGAAATACAAACGGATGCAGGGAAGCCAAACGTGGTTGTTGCAAAGCTCCGGGGAATTGCTGATAGTGACTTGGATTAGGATGGTGGCAATGGAGGTGAAGAGAGTGGACGGATTCAGAGACTTGGTGATGAGCTAGATGTAGTGCTGAGGAAGAAGGTATGGTGGCTCTTATGTTCCTGGCTCCAGCATCTGGTGGGAGTATTAGTCACCGCTGGAAGAGACTACTTTCATGAGAGTGATGAATTCAGTCTTGGACACGCTGATGTTTGGATATTTGTTTTCTTTTGAGATACTCAGTTGAGGCCTGGAGTTTAGAGAACGCTGGACTGGACTTCCTCCAGGAAATCTGGCATGGGCACCGATGCAGACACGCTTGGCTGCCTTTCCTGCAGCCGTTCTTTTTCCCTCTTACATTTTTCCAGCGCCTGTATTTTTTTCAGGCATCATACTCCCCAGGGGACGCGGCCCCTTCCAGCCTCCAACTTGATTAATCATAAATTATTCATAGCACCTGATTCCAATTCCTTCTCAGTAACTGGCTTAGGAATAGGCTGTGGGGCAATTTGGGCAGAACAGATCTGAGAAGTATTCTGGGAAAGCTTCTCTTGCACCTAAGAAGTGGTTGAGAAGGGATCTTGGTGTTGTAGTTTGGTGGTGACCAGTTCAAAGATGCCAAAGAGAACTCTGGCCTAATGCAGTGCTTCTCAAAGTGTGGTTGGTTTCTAGTGCATGCAGGATTCTGGTTCATTGAGATAAAATTCACATGCAATTTACTGTTTTTACAATTTAAAAGTGTACAATTCAGTGACATTTACTAAATTCACAATTTTGTACAACCATCTCCACTATCTTGTTCCAGAACATTTCATTGGCCCACAGGAAACTCCATGCCCATTAAGCAGTTACTTTCCAACACTCCCAACCCCCACTTGTTTCTTGGTCCGTGTTCCGTGAGAGAACATGATGCCTGGGTGGCTGTTCCTTAGTGTGGCCAGGAGGATTGCAGAGCAGAAGGATGGAGAAAGCCTAGATCCTTGATGATGTGGAGCTGCCCACTGGACCCACTTGGGAACCTCCCTACTTGAGGTTTATGATGTAAGGTGACAGACGTCACTGCGCTTAGTTGTGTTTGCTGGTTTCATCTGAAAGCATCCAGTTAGAGCATCTTGCCCAGGTGCTCTGTGACCAGCTTTTACTTTCCTTTAATAACATATGGAAAAGGAATTCCTAATCCTAAATGCTGTCAAGCCTGTGTTTTACTCACTTACTGAATTTTGTGTTATTCCCACGGAGGACAGGGATGATGCCTCTTATTCATTGCAGTTTGTATTCCCAGGGCTTGGCGTTCTAGGCAGCTAGAGAGTAGGTTTTCAGTAAATATTTGTTGAATGGTTGAAGAATTTAGGATATTCGGTCACCTCCTTTTGAGTGAGCAGAGATTAATGCCTATACTTTCTTCCCAGAAGAATTAAAAGCAAGTGTTCAAACAAAAACTTACATATGAGTATTCATAGCAGCACTATTCACAATAGCCAAAAGGCAGAAACAACTAAAATGCATGCCACCTGATGAATGGATTAGAAAAATATGGTACAACAAATTATTTGGTCATAAAAAGGAAGTACTGATATTTGTTACGATATGGATGACACTTGAAAACATTGTGCTAAGTGAAAGACAAAACGGGCCACATGTTGTAGGATTCCATTATGTGAAATGTCCAGAATCTATAGAGACAGAAAGCAGATTGGTGGTTCTCAGGCATGGGGGTTGGGAGTGTTGGAAAGTAACTGCTTAATGGGCATGGAGTTTCCTGTGGGCCAATGAAATGTTCTGGAATGAGATAGTGGAGATGGTTGCACAAAATTGTGAATTTAGTAAATGTCACTGAATTCTACACTTTAAAATTGTAAAAATAGTAAATCGCATGTGTATTTTATCTCAATGAACCAGAATCCCTGCATGCACTAGAAACCAACCACACTTTGAGAAGCACTGCTTCAGGCCAGAGTTCTCTCTGGCATCTTTGAACTGGTCATCACCAAACTACAACAGCAGGGAATCACAACCGTGAGAGAGAAGGGCCTGTCTTCCCGCTGGGCATCTGGAATTAGCCTGCTCCCCTGTTTTCTTCCTATCTTCCTTCCAGCGTAACCAGCCACTGTAAGTTTGTAAAGCATGCCCTGTGAGCACTGGTGCCTCACTTCCAAGTCACAGATACCCAAAATGGTTGTAAGAGAACCAACTCTGGTTGCTTCAGGATTCAGAACACCTTTAGAAACACTGAAATAGAGATGAGTAATCTCTATCTGGTGTTAGCTGGCCATAAGTTTCTTTCTTCCTTTTTTTTTTTTTATGTATTTTTAGTAGAGACGGGATTGTACCATGTTGGTTAAGCTGTTCTCAAACTCCTGACTTCAAGTGATCTGCCCACCTCCCAAAGTGCTGAGGTTACAGGTGTGAGCCACTGTGCCCGGCCATAGCCATGAGTTTCTTATGGAGCTACTGATTACTGCTGCACAATTTACTGACAGTAGCATTAAGCAGCCTCATATTTTTTACTGACCGTTTTTTCTGCTGGGAGATTGCATCCTTAAATGCATTCCTAAAATACAGCCCTACCACATTAGCATAAGTTATTCACAACATTGTGTTTAATGTGGGCAGTTTAACAGACTGATCCTTCTCATAATCTGAGATATGAAAACAGCCTTTAGTGATCATAATACCAAACAAAAACACACATTCGTATAGCATTAAAAAACAAAGCACATCGAAAAAGCAGTGAAGTGTGGATGCTCAATAATACCACCAGCCCTTCCATGGTCATTATCCATATTTCAGTACTTATTTATTACCACCAAAGGAAATGCAGTGAAGCCAAACTGTATACAAGATGTAAATTACCTTGAATTACTTAATAGGGGAGCCTCATTAGGAATAACAAAATACACTAACATCTTCCAGATTGACTTGGAATTCAGAAAACAATTAATTGAGAGTTTAGACACATGTAGCTTCATTACTTTCAATTACATTCAGGGAGCAACACCTGGGTGGGAGCCAAGGCGGAGAGGCCAGGTCAGGCTGGCAAGAATGTGAGTTCTTGTTAATTACCAAAGCACTGCGTTCAATCTGCTCTGTTTTGCCACTAGAGTCCTGCTCTCTCCCTCCTTACCTGTTTCTTGTCCCTAAAGTTAGGATGATTATAACCTGTCTTAAGTTCCTCATATAGTTAAATGGAAGGCAAGACCAAAGAAGTCAATGGAAAAGGTAAGAATAAATCTCACTGTCTTATCATTGTTTCTACTTACATAATATATGCAAGAACAAAAGTATTTATCCTGTCTCTAAAAGGATCCGATCTTTTATGCGACCTTAGTCAATTACGACAGTATCAGTGAAGTTACATAATAGTTCCCGGTTTCACTACTCCAAGGGTGATAAGTGAATTCGAATTCAGTTTCCCACAACAAATGAATAAAGCAAGTATATAGGCTCAAAGTCGGGAGTTGTAGAACCATAAACCATTAGGTAACAAATCAGGATGCACCAGGAGAACTTCTAGCAGGTGGAAATCCATTCATGATGATCACATACACAGTGTTTAAATCAGGATATAATTTCCCCAACCTGCTAATAATATTTGTATCCTTGGTGGTGTTGAAGGTCTTTCCAGCTTGTTTTCTTATGCCAAGGTGTTACAGGATAGCTTAGTGCTTTGTATCCTCAAAGCAATTGTGCCAATAGAAGTTTTTTATTCTCCCAAGTTCCTACGATTAAAAGTTTGATCTCTAGTTGCAACTTTCATCAAGGCCAAATAAATAATTGGGGATTTAGAACTTTTTATTTCCTCATTTATTGTAGATCCTTCAAGCTGTGAGCAACAGAAAACCCATCTGGAATAAGTAAAACCAAGGACTTTGTTGGCTCAATTAAAAAAAAGTCCGCCAGTCACAGTGGCTCACTCCAGAAGTTCCAGACCACCCTGGAACTTCTGAGCTATGGTGATTTGCCCACCTCAGCTTCCCAAGACATTGAGATTACAGCCATGAGCCACCAGGCCCGGCCAACTTGACTTTATTTACTTGTTGTTGTTCTTGTTATTATTATTTAATTATTTGAGGTGGAGTCTTGATCTGTTGCTCTGGCTGGAGTGCAGTGGTGCAATCCCGGCTCACTACAGCCTCCACCTCCCAGGTTCAAGGGATTCTCCTGCCTCAGCCTCCCCAGTAGCTGCGATTACAGGCGTTTGCCACCACACCCAGCTAATTTTTGCATTTTTAGTAGAGACGGGGTTTCACCATGTTGGT